TTTTTCTTTTTGGATTGTTGAGAAATTTTTGGTTTTGCTTGAAGTCCTATTCGTCATCTCTCAACAATAAATAGTTTAAGTGCCAAGATTCTTGTGAAATTGTATCTTTCTGACATTAAGTCTGCAGGGAGGGTAGAGAAAGCCGATAAACCCAGTACATTTAAATCATCTGCGGACGGTCAGATGGCCTGGAGGGAGCCCCAGCTGTAGGTCAGGAGAGCAGGTGGGCTGGGTCTCGGCGTGGATACTTAACCAGCAGCGTGGCTGGGCAGGTTACTTTAAATGAGATAATATATTTGAACACACATTATATACAAGGTCATATTATTGGGGTCATTATTAGAGTCCCAAGAGATGACTTTGCAATTGATAAGATTCTTAACTAATCAGAGTCATTTGTAAATATCAGATTCATTTTCTGTGAGCTGTTTTCACTTTTGTTCAAAATCAGGGGTTGTTAATTTTATGTAGAAATCATAGGTTGCTTTCCTTTTTCTTGGCTGTCTTTGTATATATTGAGACATACAGATCAACTAGTTGGTGTGTACTTTGTTGGTTCGTCCTTCTGTTGGAAGCTGGTTATCTCTTCTCTTGGAGTTATCTCGTCTATTGGAGTGGGTTTGTCCTTTTGTTCCTGCTAAGTCAGCTTAAGGCTGATAGGTGAGTTTTTCATTAAGAACTTAATTGCTTTTAAGTTTTCAACTAGGGCAAGGTTGAGTCTGGGCTTTCGCCTTCCTAGTTCTGTGCTCTGACAAAGTGAAATAACTTAGAACTCAGAAAGTTTTCAGAAGCATCAGTTTTTAAATATTCAGGCATCTTTATTTCAGTTAACTTCCAGTTTACTGTCACGGTGATTTAAAAAACAAGCTACATGAAACACAACTTATCTGAGAATTGATTCTGAAAGGGTGGTTTCAGCACATTCTTAGAATTTCCTTTTCACAAAAAGTTTGGAAATGTCAGTGCTCGCAAGAGGCGGCTAACCATCATAAAGACTTTTTTCAGATGTTTAGAGCCCTTCCCTGGTCTCTTCTCCCTTTCCTCATTGCTTTCATTTTTTGAGAGGAATTATCCTAAATTATTTATATTAATAAATTGCCATTGATAAGACTTAATAATTGTCAGTGTCAGAGTTTAGAGGAGTACATAGAATAATAATTTTAGCTGTGGAATGGATGTTAGCTGTTCCTTGGGTGGAACTCATTTTAAAATTAACGTTTACACGTAGATTCCATTACCCTAGGAATAGAAGTGCGTTCTTTGTGGTAAAATGCCTCCTCAGTTCACTTAACGCCCTCTCTTACCTAGCCTTGTACTTCCTGACACACACAGGAGCTTCTTTTTTCAGTAATTACCACAAATAATTAAAATTAGTTCTTTTATTATTTTTCATGAAGTAGTTGTTTACATAAATATAAAAGTTATTTATGGAATTCAATGTAGTGGAATTCTAAAGTCAGTGATTTTTAAAGTTAGTATCTAGAGTTTGTATAAAAAGGCTAAAACAAAACAATTCCTTTTCAGTAATTTTTAAAAGAATCATATTACTTTGAACAGTTATCACTTCTGGGATAATTAATGTATTAAGTAAACATAAGTATGACAAATAATGAACTTTAGTCCTAATCGTTTCTATCATAGCATTTAGGTGCAGGAAGCAAACTTAGAAATCCCTCTTCACACATGAGGATGAGAATGAGTTACTGTATAGACTTTGGTGTTTGGAATCACATTAGCTATCTTTTGAGGAAGATCTGAAAATTTCCAGAAACCTCTGGTGTACGATTAAGTTCTTCATGTGATTCTATTTCTGGTTGTGCTTAGGTGTTTGGATTCTTAAGGTGGTTGGTTTATTTAACATTTATTATGGAAGTGAGAGCGTTTAGTCTCTTTGCTTAACTGTATGTGGGTTTGGGAAACTTAGTTGTTTGAACATTAAGCATGAGGCCCTAACTCAGGAATATAGCAAGAGTTGTAAAGGCTAATCTGTCAGGAATATTTTCCTAGTTATATATTTTAACATTACATAATACTAATAAAACAAGCAAAAAATAGAAAGGAAAAAAGTTTTCCTACATCCTTCTGTCCCAACAACTTTTCTTATTTCCATTCCAGTTTGTAGTCACATGCTGATGTATGCAATTTTACGTAGTTGTAATGTTACGTTTAGTTCTTCTTTTCTTTATCTGAGATACAAAGCTAGGCAGCTAAAGAAAAAGGGGTAAACTTCTGTCACAAGATCTTGCAGTTCTATTTGCAGATATTGTTTGTCTTTTAATGTTGTCGTTCGGACTGTATAACTCAACAGGTAACTCTTGTGTGCTTTCAAATACAGTGAGAACACCCATTCATACATTCTTAAGCAGTCTAATCATTAAATGAGCTGAAAGTTTTATAGGCATAATTGACGGTATTAGTTCAGCAACACTCTCCTTTTCAGGAATTTGATGTTTTATAACTTAAGGTAGTTTAAAAAAATTTAATACGTAAGTGAACATTTATTGATTGCCTGCCAGGTGTCTCGCTTAGATAGTATGGAATCTGATTGCCTTTCCTAAGGGATTTCCCGTTTAAATCTGTATAAGATCAACTACCATGCAGGGGTAGGGAACCTGCGCCCTTCTGATTTCAAGATTGTTCTTGTTTAAGCACTAAAGGAGGCAAAAAAAGCTTCATCTTTCTCTGCTGCACCCTTTTAACAAAAGGATTTGTTCTGTAACATTTGCAGTTAGTCAAAAGGCCGCACTTAACAACCTAGAAGGCCACATGTGGTCTTAAGGCTGCAGGTTCCCCACCCAAGGATGGAGCCAGAAAATGACACTAGAAATTGAGATAGAAACAGTGAAATGAATTATTTTAGGTGTTAGGATGGACAACAAATTTATTTCAACAGGTATTTCAAATGAGTTTACTTTGCATTTTACAGTACTTGATGCAGTGAAAGACGCAAAGTATGCAATAATGTCTGATAGGGTCATTGCCTCAGTAAATCAGAGTCTGGTGTCTCGATGGAGGGACTATTACACAGCTGTTAAAAATGGTGGTGATCAAAGCCATTTACCAGCAAGGAAGACTTGTTTTCTCTGTTGGTGGAAAAAGCAAAATGTAAAAGCGTATGTGTAACTCTGATTGATTCTGCTATTATCATTATTACTATGCACTAATACATATGCATACAGGAACAGGCAAGAGCTGGAAAGGATCATGAGAGAATGAAATGGATTGTTCCAGTTAGGAAGATTTTATTTCCTAAGAACTTCCTTCGTGTTGCCAAGTGCTGTCATACTCCGTTTCTTAGTGTGCTTTATGGTTCATGCTCATGAGGAAATGACTGTCATGTGGAAAGATGAGATTAAAAGGTAAACGGTGATAGCAGCCTGCTAGTTATTAAGTGCCAGGCTGTGACAGGGAAATACAGGAACTTAGAGGAGTGAAGACTTCACTGAGGAGGGTGAGCTTGATTGGGCTTCCAGGGAGGAAGCTTATGCTTCGAATCGGTGGGTGGGTGGGGGGCAGCAGAGCAAGGGCACAGGGACAAGAAGGAGCCAGGCAAGTTAGGCAGCAGAGACGAGATCTGCCTGCCAGAGGGGGGACTCTGTGCGGTTGACTAGAGAAGGTTGGCGTGGGAAAGGCTGGGTGAGTCACAGGGAGTTCTGAATGCTGGCTCGGCCAGAATTGGTGCCGAGGGTGGCTGGTCCACGTTTGGCTTCTTAGACCTTTGTGTGAGTCTTGGACACAAACAGGAAGGAGAAAGATTGCCAGATCTCAGGGCCAGCTTGGAGGCCCAGGTAGATGACCGAATCCCAGCATAGCTGGGTACGACTTAGTGTGGGTGAAAATGCAGCCAGGTGAATAGGAGTGTGAGGAGGCCGGTCAGATCAAGTGAGCAGTTGTCAATCAAAAGGGAAGGCCTGGCGTGGTGGTGCACACCTGTAATCCCACGACTTTGGGAGGCTGAGGCGGGAGGATCACTTGAGGCCAGGAATTCAAGACCAGCCTGAGCAACATGGCAAGACCCTGTTTCTACAAAAATAAAAAAAAAAAGGCGCGGTGGTGCAGGCCTGTAGTTCCAGCTACTTGGGAGGCTGAGTCAGGAGGATCGCTTGAGCCCAGGAGTTGGAGGCTGCAGTGAGCTATGATGACGTGACTGCATGCCAGCCTGGGTGACAGAGCAAGGCTGTCTCAAAAGAAAAAAACAAAAAGCAAGGGAAAACTGAGGAAGTGGGAGGAAGCTTAGAAGACCCTGGAGGCAGTGAAGACGTAGGTGATCTTAGGAAATGAACCGCAGGAGAAGGTGCTTTTGACCCTGAGGACATTGGGGATTCTTTAGCCTTCTCAGATCATCGGCAGATATAGAGCTAAGGATGACTGGATGGAAATTTCTGGCGGTATTTGCTGAAACAGAAGATACTTGTTTTACAAGCATCTGCTTGATATGCTAATGGTGAATGAGACACGTGTCTGTTGTTATGTTGTTTTGCTTCTGCTGTCAACTCGGTGACTGAAATTTGGATTTGTACTAATAGGGATGAAAGCTTTTTGAGAAGAAGGTACATGTTTT